CCCCAAAGGACCTTTTTTCCCTTTGAAAACATGTTTCAGATATTCCTCACTATCATGTTCTAACTTAACCAAGCTACTCAGCTGAACTGGAGATTTGAAGTTTCTTTTCACCAAACCCTGAACTATCGGTTGCTGTAGTCTCTTTTTCCAATCAGGGTTCTTGGAGTACAAGAGGTGGGCCTTACCACAACAAGGGCCAACTCAAACCAGTTGTTGGGTGCCTCCCTTCCAATGACAGCAAACCCTTCCTCCCATACTCCAATGGTGGAACGATTACTTAAAATCTGTTCCCCAACTCAATAGAGCAATATCCCACATCTGACACCAAATTGTTATGTGTGGTATTATTCACACACACATGCACCAAAGACTTACAGCAAACAAGTTTTGACAGGTTTGGGCTAAACCTGATAGAATTGTTAAATCCAGGTTGTACCATGACAATAAGTATTGTCAGGATCAGTATTATAAAGTGAAGTAAAGCATGAATATACACAGCTGAGGTGATTGTTACAGCTGTGAATGCAATCATAGGATTGGTTATCCATGAGATAAAACTATCAGACCAAGCATACACAATCTGTGGGTTGTTGGTGGTGATGCTGGTTGGTGTGGTCGTGGAGAAGAGTCATCTTGTTCCTGTGCTGGAGAAAGCCGTGTCTACGTGCTTGGTATTGAAGAGGAACTCTGGCTAATTGGATGGAACGTATGGTATACGACTACTGAACTTATTTACTGGACATTGACTCTGATATATGCACTAAACACTGTGGAAACTGTTGTGCGTTACTTTGGAACTGAGAACAAAGACTTAGCTGTAAATATACCTGTATGTTCTGTAAATAATACAACATCTGCTATCAACACTACTCTGGTGCTTGGCGTCTTCATCATCTCAGGGAAGTTCTTTTGGTTATCGCCCCCTGGTGTATACCTGTACTACCGCTACTCTGTCAAGTTTTATTTCTTGTCTGCAAGCATGGAGAGAACACACTTGGGTTGTGTGGTCTCTGCGATTCAAGTATTCATTGATACATTTTATACCCAATGCAACGCAACCCCTCTCTGTTCCTCTGGCCAATCCTGACCAACACGGCAAGCTCACATTCTACCTATCACTCGACGCAAAGTGCACCGATGCCCATATATGTATTCCCCCCTTGCTACACAAACTTTACACTGACTCATGTTTCTTAACTTTCACTTTCTACTTTTGTTTCTCTGTGAACTTAGAACTATCGCTTCACCTATCCGTATCCGTATCACTCACACCTCCTCTTAATCAAATATGCATTCATTCTGAACACAGAGATTACTAAATTAGCTGTTGGAACTGGGGTATGTATTGTTTCCGGACAAGTGTGCAAAAACAAACAGAGGCATGGGTATGATTTCAGAGTGATTATAGGGCAAAGAAAAGAGCAATATGCTTGTTTTCCATGTAGCATTTGCGGTGTTAGAAAGTTTTTAAAAGAAACTCAGTAGTTGACATTGAGCAAAAAGGAAACTGATAGTGTACGTAGCATTGGTAAACAGAGTTGCTAGTGTCCAAGGAAAAGGCGAGGGATAGCTGGTCATCCAATATCTCCTCTGGATGCTCCAACAACTGAAGCACTAGGATGGGCTAGGACTGAGATCACATCCCCTTGCAGCTGCTCAGGCAGCATGTCATGGAGCTGAGGGGCAAAGGTAAGGGACTTCTGTGTTATGTAGATTAGCCTTCGAGTTCTGGAATATTCTTTTATTCTTTCTTTTCAGCTTAGTTTCTTAAACATTACTACTAAACTACAAGGATAAGTGTATGTGGTTGTAGATGGATGCTGGAATATTCTTTTATTCTTTCTTTTCAGCTTAGTTTCTTAAACATTAGCTATTACTACTAAACTACAAGGATAAGTGTATGTGGTTGTAGATGGATGCTTCTTGTGTGGATTTTGAGTGGAGAGATTACAACAGTAAGGGATGGGGTTTTTATTTAGTTTGCTATTTTTTGTCCTTCTTTTTTCCTAGTTGGTGTAAATACCACTGTCTGCGAGCATCCATTGGATGCCTAGATTGCCAAGCTCCGTCTACAGCCCCCTTACATTTGCTAGGTGCATTCTTTCCTCCACTTGACACATGCAGAATTCTTCAGTGTCTGCTTCTTGAATTCTACAAAGGCAGTATTGTCTGCTTTACCCTTACTGGTAGACTACAAGCCAATGCTTTACTCCAGTTGCCTGCTGCTTCTTTCTGGCCTGAGTGGGTCCCAGTGAAATCTCACTGTGGAAATTTTCAAGCATTAACATGTTCCCATTTCTGTTCTGAGGCTCCCAAGACTCCCCCAAAGTAAACGAGTTCCCTGGGACCTGGGAGAAATGGAGGAAGCAACTTCTGATAATGCCATCACTATTGCATGGGTGTGAAGTTGCACAATGGGATTCTAGCCAAAGGCTTATGGATAATTTTTTTTTGGAATTTCACTTTGCAAGCTTGCAAACAGAGATGGCAAGAACATGTCCATTCATATATTATCTAGTTTCATTTACCTTGTCTATTTCAGGCCCTTTCTGGGAGGATATGCAAAATGTGTATACCCTGATGCACATTCATGTGCACCAACCTGCAAGGATTGATTAGCCACCCTCCCTCCCTTTACAATATTCTCAGGATCACTTTTTAGTATTTTAATTTTATTTGGTATCTAGTAATTTCTGTCTCCAGTGATTTTCTTCAGATCAGACAAAACATATCTTTTTCCACATAGTACACCATGGAACTATTGAATTTTTTACCACAAAATATAGTGATGGCCTTAAAAGTGTCCTATCCCCAGGTCAGTGGACCCCATTGGTAAGGTCTGGGCAGTCTGAGGCCACCTTCAGGCCGGACATGTGTAGCAAATTGACAGAGCAGGTGGGAGGTGTCCAGAAGCATCATCTGAAGGTTAAGTAGAGGTCAATGAATACAGTCCTACTAAAGAGCCAGGTAAATTAGGTGAGAGGGATCTGATACCAAAGACCTGCAGCAATCCAAAGTCAAGGCTCTAGAGTCATAACAGTAAGCAGGCAGGGAATATTCTGAGAGATACCATGAAACCAGTGCAAAATCATAAAAAGCAAAGGAGCTATAGCCAGGTTAGGACTGAAGAATATAAGAGGGCACACCCAGAGCTCTGAAAAGGTGTTGCCAACAAATCCCCACGCCTATAACAGAAGATTATATTGGTGAGTTGCTGGAGCCTCACTTAGCACTCAACTTTAGTTGAGTTTGCAGTCTTTTGGATGGATGGTTTCCCTAGGAAAAGGAGCTCAGTTGCGTGATTTAGACTGCTGGTTCTTAACCTTGGGTTACGCAGGAGTTTTGGACTGCAACTCCCAGAAGCCTTCACCACCTGCTGTGCTGACTGGGGTTTCTGGGAGTTGCAGTTCAAAAGCATCTGAGTAACAAAGGTTAAGAACCACTGATTTAGACTGCTGGTTTTCCTGGCAGGACAAGCTTTCCCTCAAGGAAAGCTCTCTAATTATGAAGGAATCTTTTCTCACAAGGAGTCTTCCTTTGCAGCTGAGCACTTCCTCATGGGTCATGACCCAAGCTTGTGCCCTCAGTCTGTAGTATTATCGTGGGCTGGGAACAACAGGTTTAGCCCTGTTTCCCCACTGTTGTCCAAAGCTGCTTCCATTCATGCTTCTATCTGTTCCAGCAAGGATGAGCTGGACCCCTTTGCCTCCCCAAGCTTTTAGCTGATTTTGCATCTGAAATAGGCAACCTTACATTGTGCTCTCCTCTTTCTAACAATGGCAGTCAACTTATTTTCCTGCCATTCCCTTCTCCTCTGAAATGACAACACCTTTGCTGGTGACTGTCTATTTTCAATCTTCTTAGAGACCAACAATGGCTCCCTTCTTCATTGAGCATCCTCATGGGTGCCTCAAGGGTGCTTCAGCCTGTCTAGGCCTCCAGAGCTAGGTACGTATTATTTATTCATAGTGGGAAAGAGAAGAGTCAGCGATTTCAGTTTACCACATTTGGCCTGCAATTCAGTGCTCCCTTACTTGGGAGGAAGCCCCCAACTTTCCCAACTCAGTGGCATTTTCTTCTGAACAGATCAAACAGTGACTGAACAAAATTAAAGGCTGGGCTATGAGGATCCGTGAATACTTTTGATTATACACAGATGTAAAAGGGTGGAAGGGAGAAAGTTTTGGGAAAGTCATTAAGCCCACTCTGTCTTTAGGTAAGCAGAAAGCAAAATGATGATAAATGTTCTGTCAAGCTTGGTGTTTACAGTATACTTAGGCAAGTGATTAATTCCTCATTTTTGTGTCATCTGACTACAGCCTCTTAGCACAGATGTTTTCGTTTTTAAATCATGAAGAGGTGGGAGTGATTATCCTTTCTCTGCTTGATCCAAGGGAGACAATAGCAGATGAAAGTCACATTCGGTTAGTCAGCAGGGAGCATCAGCCGTGACAGTCACAGGGTTCCCCCCCCTTTTTTTAAATAGTTTACTCTTTAAGCTGGTAGTATTTTATGAAATATTAATGGAAGGCTTCTCCCCCAAATTCAGCAGTATTCTATCTCAGTCACTAATACAGAATGCGATCAGAGTATGATTGCTAATATCCTGTTGCATATTAACGATTCTGCATGTGGTTGTGCAAGTGGAAATCCCCATCATTTTCATGGCGGGTTCTCTGTCTTGCAGAACTGCAAGCCAGAGATTGCCAGGGCAAGACAGTGCGTTCAGGCTGCAGAATAGGAATCTGGAAAAAATAATGGAAATTGGTATCACACATTCATACTAGGGTTACTACTAACACTACTGAGATTAATAGAGTGGTGATACAGGAGCCCGGCTTATGTGAGACATAAGAAAAGTTATTCGTAGAAATGATTACACCCGGAATTCCCCACCTAGTGTGATCAGTAGGCATGCTCACTGTGGCATTCTGGGAGATGTTACCCCCCCAAATTAACTTTTCCCTTGTCTGAGTCAGATTTTTTTTTCCTACCAACAGATAATCATCTTCTCTTGCATTGGCTCAGAAAATTCAGTTGCCATTTGGAAATTCCAGACCCAACCCCCAAAGAGTTTCAGAGAGTTCACCTGGCTCAGATGATTCAGCATTCAGGTGCTTAACTTTGGATCCTTTGCTTGCCTCCAGCAGTTCTAATAAAGGGGATGTACTACCACTCAGAAATAGCAATACAGTAGGATTCCGTATCCATAGGGGAGCAGGTACAACCCCTCCCCTCCCCCAGCAGATGCTGAAAATAGTGAACCCTATACATAGCATGGTCTGACTCCCTTTAGTGGACAGTTCTGGTAACCACACAGTGGAAATAAATATTTTTGATTTTTTTCTTTTAATATTTTGAGGCCATGGACAAAGACTATAAATATCAATCCCATGAATACAGAGGCCATGTTGTATTTTATAATAATGACACTAATTAAAGTGTCATTGTTTTGTCCTAGAGGTGGCAGCATGTTGGATGATGGCAGCTCAAACTCAAACCACAAGTTTATAGGAATTTTATATAAGGCAAGAGTTTGGTTCTAGACATGACCTTGAGCAGTTTCAAGTGGTGCTCATGCTGATAAGCCACACATCACAGCAAAAACAAATGCTCCTTCATCAGCAGAACAGCTCTGGACAGATTATTAAGAAGGCTGCTGCTGCTCAAGTTTGAGGACAATCTATCTGCATCTCTACCAGCAGAAGCCTCTTATAATTAAAGGGCATTGGCCAGTCTAGCAACAATTCATGTCAATAGTAGATATTTATTTGTGTTGTGCTTCCTAAGCTGGATTTCTTGGACTTGTATGATGGTGTTGACAGAGCCTCCTTTAGCTAGAAAGATGCTAACAACAGAGACTGCTCAGTCTTTTTTGATTTTTTTTCAAGGATTCACATCTTCTGGAAGAGAGAGATCATCTTGTTTTGTGCTGAGGGACGTTCTCTGCTCCACTCTATCTCCACCCCCAAAATCTGATCCAATCATTCCAGTCAGACCTAATTCCCAGTTTCTATTCAGACTCATGCTAATCACACTGGACTTGATACAAGAATGTCAAAGCATTTAGAACACAACTGACACCATCTTAAGCATGGACCTAACTCACTTAAGCATGCACCTAACTCACTCATTCTCCCCATATTGACATGGAGGTTCTGCTTCTTGTTAGCTTAAATATTCTATGCCCAAATTACTTTTTTTGAGACAGAGAGAGGGAGGGAAGGTATTGTTCATTTGTTTTTGTTGCCAGCAGTTATAATCAGTTCTGTTCAATGTTGTGGAGAAAAATTCTCTCAAGGTATTGTGAGTCTCTTGAGCTTTTACTGTGTGTGTTCTGTATCTGACATTCTGCAGTATGCAGTTTAAATCAGTAAAGGGTTTTTAAAATAATGTATTTTTTTAAAAAACCACTAAACTATCTCAGTGTTTACTGCTATTTAAATTTAATGGACTGTAACCAACGCTTAAACTAGGACGTCAGAGTAATGAATGCAACTTAGAGTATTCCAGATATATATTTGCAACCATGAGAAGAATCTCCCAGCTTCTTCAGGGTCTCTTTCAGTGCTAAAAGGTACATGAAAAATCAGCCTAAAAGGAACAAGAAGCCTGTTCTACCTGCCTTTCAGACCTTGCAGATTAATGGGGAAAGGAGTTGTTTATCTGCAAAGGCCCTCCCTGCTAGGGTTGCTTGTAGGAATTGATTTTTGCAATCAAAGCCTGTGAGTGAAACATCTTGAGTAGAGTTGGGCATGAACTGAACTACAAACCAAATAAAGCATGAACTGGTCTGGTTTGTGGTTTGGTTTCCACAGGCTGTTTTGATGAAACAAAATGAAGCACCAAACTTTTTTCCACGTAGCACTTTATTTTGCTTTGGCAAAATGGATGCCCCTCCCCCCTGCTTCCTGCTGCCCTTGTTGCTTCCCTATCTGGTCCTGCCTCCTCCACAGCCATCATCTTCGGAGACAGTGCCCCAGCTTTCACTTCCCTTCCAGGATCTGGGCCTGCTCTCTCTGCGCATGTGCACACCTATCAGCTGATAGGGCAGCGCACTGAGAGAGACAGACAGCCTGGCTCCTGGAAGGGAAGTGGAAGACAGACCACTGTCTCTGAAGTGGCCAAAGGAGGTATATGAGGTGGCAGAGGCAGCAGGACCAGATAGTGAGGCAACAGTGGCAGTGGGAAGGGGGCAGGTGGGCAGCAGAGGGGGTGAAGGTGCTCGGTTCCTAGTTGGTTTGTGGTTTGTGAGTAGCCACAAACCACAAACTACTCTGATTCATTTTTTTCCAGTTTGTGCCTGTAGCATTCACCCTGTTCATTAATATTTATGTTGAGATTTGCATGCACCAATAGGAGTTGGTGAGGGGTAGAGTTAAGTGGGGTGAAGAAAATTAGGGAGAGGGAGAGAAAGAGTAGGTGGTTGCGAGTGTAGAGAAAAAGTTGTTTAGTTGAGAGTTGACTAGACTGTTATCACCTGTAACAATAAACAATTTCTATTTGGTTCTTAAATAATACATTGCCTGGACCTCTGTCATTAATAGTGAATAAATTTGATGTAATCAACTGGTAGCAGTTGAACAACATGTAGCTCCTGCCTTTGCTTGGAGAAACAACCTAGGGCAAGGTGGGAACATAACAAATTGGTGGCATAGCGGTCGGATCCAAAACAACCCAGTGGGAAAGGGGTTAGGATCTGTGGCGTAAGACGTGGTTACCGATTAGAGTCTTGTGGAAGACTTAGTTTTGAGGTTTCTGAGCCAGGTCTGTGGAATCCCAAGAAGAGGTCCTTTTGGCTCTTGTGAGGAAAAAGAACCAGTCTGATATAATAAGAAATTGTCTTGTTTATGCTGCCAAAACAAAGTAAAAAGTTGGTTATGGAGGCACAGGTTGAGCTCCTGGGTGCTGAGGGAAATGGGAACCCTCAAATTCAAAGTGAAGAAGAAACTGAGGGACCAGTAAGAATTGCCTCAGAAGGAGAAAATATCCAAAGCTCCCAAGGTTTTGAAAGATGGAAACTAGAATAGGAATTTAAACTGAAGGAGTTAGCTATGAAAAACCAATTAGAATTGGAAAAAGAAAAAATCAGAGAACTTGAAAGGAAAGGGGAATTTGAGCAAGAAAACAGGCAAAGAGAAAGAGAAATGCAGTTCCAAATTGAGATGAAGAAACTGGAAATACCTGCCCAAAATAATAATAATAATTCCAGTGTGGGAAATCCCTCAATCTAAGGAAATTTCCACAGTATCGGAAAGGAGACTGTCCTGAATCTTTCCTGTTTTCCTTTGAGAGAGCTTGTTGGGACTTCGGGGTTAAATATGATGAGAGGATAATAATTTTAAGGTCACAGATAGGGGGAGTTTTATCTGAGATCTATTCACAGATGCCTCTTGAACAAGTTAAAGATTTTGAGGTTTACAGAAAGATGGTGTATGCCTGATTTGGGATTAATTCAGAGCATCTCAGGAGAAAATTTTGATCAATTTCAAAGAAACCTGAGGAATCTTTTGCACAATTTGGGGCACGTTTAACCCTGTATCTTAATAACTGGCTAGAACAGGAATGGGTCGCCCCCTTAGACCAAATGAGAAATGTGTTTGGATTAGAACAATTTTATTCAATTTTACCAGGAGAATTGCATTATCTTGTCAAGGACAAGGATCCTAAAATGTGCAACAGGCTTTTGAATATGCTGATTTTATTAGTGGGATCAAAGTTCCTTGATTCTCTGAGGTAATGGATGTCAGTAAGACAGCATCCTTATCCAGTAAGAATTACTTCAGTCATGCTCAAGCTGGGGAAAGCCCTTTTAAAGCAAGACCTTCATTCTCAGAGCAAAGTCTACTGAGATCGAATAACACTGAGGGAAAAGCTGATAAATCCCTTTACCTTGAACATAGGGAAAATAAGTGATGTTATGCTTGTGATAAAGAAGGACATTTTTGGTCTCAATGTGAACCACATGAAAATAAATATTTCAGTCAGCCTAGAAAAGTATTTTGCCTTCAGCCATCAGCAGTTCAAGCCTCTAACGGCTGCACTGTTGCGAAGGGAACAGACTTGCCAGAAAGCCCAGAGCTTCCTGAGGGCAGAGTGATACAGTGTTATTTAATTCAGTGTGACCAAGACTTACTGGAAAGCTCTGAAGAAATTATTTTAGTCAATGGAAAAAGTATCTAGTCATTAGAGACTCATGTTCTCAAGTAACTATCTGTCACCCAGACATAATTTCTAAAGAAAATAGGTTGGAGCAGGAGAAGGTCACTCTTAAAGGAATCAGTTCTGATTCTATAGTAGTGCCAATGGCTAAAGAAGCACTGAATTACCATGGATGGTCTGGTATATGGAAAGTAGCTATGTCAGATCAAATCCCAGCTCCTTGTCTGATTGGTTTAGATATCTCAAAGCATGTGCAGAGTATTCTTGAAGGCTTTCACTCTTCATGTGCAGAGTGTTTGCATGGTAACCCACTCTCAGGTGAGGCAGATTGTAGCTGCTGAGGAAAGCATGGGAATCCCAACCACTCACTGAAAGACCTGGTTTAGGGGAACATCTTGAAAAAAGAGAGTCTGCTGATTTGTGCTGGTGAAAAATCCTAACAGTTCCTCCTTTATTAAGGAACAAAAAGGAAGATAGCTCCTTAAATGATTGCTTTAACAAAGTTGAAGAGAATCCAATTCCACTGTCCCCTGAACATCCAGAGAGGTATTGTTTGGACCAAGATCTATTGTATAGATAGGTTTTAATGGCACCTTGTAGGGGTGGAGAAAAGACCCACAAAAGCTGATTGTCTTTGTTAAATACCAATAAAAGATTCTGGAAAAACACACAAAGATGTGTTTGGAGCACACATGGGTGTCTCTTGCACTAAGCAAAAGGTCACATAGAATTTTTATTAGCCAGGGATGGGGCAGCAAATTAAGCAATATTGCCAAACCTGTGATACTTGTCAGAAGTGAGGTACTGGAAATGACAAAACTAGAGCTAAACTATTCCCATTTCCTGTTATCTTGACCCTTTTCTAATGTTAGGTTCTGGAACTGGTGGGAACCCTACCCAGGGCGAC